ACAATGTTAGAGGATTTAACATTTTTTCACAATCATAGATACTGTTGTCCTCAGCACAGGGTATGCAGCAGCCAAGTCCCGGATCCACATGCCACCTTCATAATTTTCAACAATCTCTTTTTTCACCTCCATGGTGATCCTAACCATTTTCTTTGTTGCTTGGCTCTTCTCATTAACTTTCTTAGAACTCATGGTTAATGAATTTACAAAAAATTTATAAAAAAAAAAAAAAAAAAATCACATGAAAATTCAGAGAGAGTTACAGCGCGGGTTGTTCAGTGAATGGTAGCAACAGGCGTACTGACACTAGTGGGCTTTGTCTCAAGAGAGAGGCAAACAAGGGTAGTGCAGGGTGTCGTGATTCATTTTGACCCATACAAGTTCTAGCATGCAAGTCATATTCCAAACAGGACGTATACCAAGTTGGACTTATTCCAAAACGGACGTATACTGAGGTACCACTGTACCTATTTTCAGTGTTTCACGTTATAGTTGGCTTTCAATTAACCCGTAAACGGTCCAAACGTATATATACGTTCGCTACCGTACTGCCCCAACTTTTTTGAGAAAAAAAAAACATTGTTGTTTTTTAATAGGAAAAAAGAGCATATGGTATCCAGGCATCCCCAATTATTTTAATATAGTGCACAGTGAGTGCTCACACCCATTCTCACATGTCTAGGCGACTCAGGCTTATCGTGGCAATGTTAAATGTAGGACACACAAAACGTATATATACGTTTGGACCGTTTACGAGTTAAGCCATTGTTTATTATGTTCAGTGCTTTTACCGCTGCACTGCTATCACCATTTTCATATCATTATCTAAGGGAAGGACAATCAATGTCATATTTAGAGCTATATAAACAAGGTCCTCCTGTACACAACTTTACTAGTGATATTAGAAATGATTCACTCATCTAGGGTACACTTATAGTGTAGGTACTGATACATACACAATGAAAATAAAAAAAATATCTGAAATAATATATTGTACTTTCAAAACTATGGGTTTGAAGTCTCTGGATTGTGTATTAAATTATGGAGTTATTAAGTCAATAAAGAGGTTCCTCCTAACAAAAAATTGTCACTTTGTAAATGATTCAAGTCAGACCAAAAACGTCGTCGTAAGCTCCTCTCTCCTATGTGCAGGTTGCTTGTGTATTGTTCCAGTCATGGTATTGTGCCTTTCTGTTATGTGGGAGTAGACTTGTAGGCAAAAGTGTCAATGATAGATAAACTGAACAACAGAATAGACAAGGGAAAAAAAAAAAAAAGGTGGGTGGTGCACTGAGGCATCTGTGGAGACAAAGAACTTTCTCTATGGAGGCAAAATGGGAAAATGCCAGAGTATAGTGGTGTGAACTATGAATTTTAAATATTGCAGTAAGGAGACTGGAGGCAATTGAGATGTGTTTGAGGGCAATATGTTATGAATATTATGCAGAGAATCTACAACATAGATTAAAAGGTGTACAGCTACGAAAAGTAAAATTTAGAGGACTGAGGAGGGTTTGCTGAGGTGGTTTGGACACTTAGAGAGGATGAAGCAAAATAGGATAGCTTGGAGGATTCCATATATAAATCCAGGGAGGAGGAGGAAAGGAAGGGTAGGGATTATCTCAGGAAGAGTTGGAGGGAGGGGGTAAAGGGAGCCTTGAGTGCTCTATTGAGGCTTGAACTTCCAACAAGTCTATGTGAGCATTACTTATGAAATTGTAATAATATGACTGCAGACAAATCACAGAATGGGTGGAGCTTGAACCCTGGTAGATGAGTCCTATGATTTGTGTGAGCATGTTTGATTGGAGTGAGTGGAAGCAAGAAGCTTTCGTGATCTGACATGCTGTTGGAATTTGAGCAAGGTAACACTTATGAAGGGATTGAGACACCAGTTAGCTAGACTTGAGTCCTGGAGGAGGGAAGTATAGTGCCTGCACCCTACAGAAGGGGTGAGAATATTGCAGTTTGAAGTGCCATCTGAACTGTGATGTCAGCATGCTTCTAGTACACAGTAACTGAATGAATCACTGCATGCATTTCCTCATTTTTGAGTCTCTCCTTGGTGTGAGATGACCTGAATGTTATTAAAAAAAAAAAAAAAAAAAGGCAAGAGGGTTCAGTAGTACCTTCCTGGAGAAGTGCTGCACACCAAGCAGCTTAACCATTTCAGGGTTTAGAGGCCAAATCTCAGAGTGGCAGCCAGGGTTTAAGAATTTAAAAAAAAAAAAAAAAAAAAAATTCTTATGAAATGGTAGAGAATCTTTTTCTGAAGGTAATAAAGCAAAAAGTACAAAATTTGATGGAAAATTGACAAAATTACGCTCTCGCGTATTCTGATGCCTCAGTGATATTTACACATCAACGATTTTGCCGACTTTGACTCCCATTTTAGGCCAATTATATTATTCCAGTCAACCAAATTCTTAGCTATTTTGCTAGTATTACTTCTATTTTATTGACTGAGCACAAGAAATTGCCCAGTCAACTGTTTCAACTACCCAATAAAGTGATCAGAAATTGGTAATTTGGCCAATTTAACACAAAGTTCAGAATATTCCAATTTCAAAGTAGGGTCCAGAATAAACAATGCAGACATTCCTGGCACTACACTAACATTTCCTCTGTTCATTAGTTATGTTTTCAGGTTTTACAAATGAATTCCAATTTTATTTTTTATTTACATACCATAAAACAGAAGATTTACTGTTATGCAGTGTTGTAATAATTGTATAAATAATATCAACATATTCGTGAACGTATATTAGACCCACCAGCTGATGCGTGTTTGACTCGTGATGATATTTGTTTACTCTTGAACATGGGCAAAAATTGAACATTTCCGCTACTTTGTGCTCAGCTTCAAGCCATTCTCAGTACTAAAACCAATCAAAATCATGTCTATTTCTATAATATATATTCCATTCTATCAAATGAGACCAAGAAATCGTGAATACAACTGTAAAAAGCACATGAAAAAACACTGCAAAGCAGCTGTTTTAATCCAAAATTACGGTTGCAGTTTTTTTTCTCTCATTATGCACTGCGTGCTGCAGAATTTGTTTTATGTGGTGCACACTTACCACAAAGATGTGTTCTCTACTATCTAGGCCCAAACTTACCACTCACAGGTTATCTGAGTGAGCTGAGTGAAGATCTACAGTTTGGACCCCTGACTTCAAAGTTGTAGATCTATGGCCAGGACACAAAGTGTTAACCCTTTCAGTGTCATGACTCCTCACAAACTTGCTCTCCTATGAAATTATAGAGAACCTTTTTCCAAAGGTAATGAAACAAAAAGTACAAAATTTAATGAAAACCTTATGGAATTACGCTCTTGCAAAGTTAGTGGTCTCGGCAATATTTGCACATTGGCAATTCTGCCCACTTTCAGCCCTAATTTGAGCCAATTCCATTATTCCACTCAACCAAACTCTCAACTATTTCACTAGTACTCCTTTTATTCTATCGAATGAGTAAAAAAGAATGCCCATTTACCTATTTCAACCCAGTGAAGTGATCAGAAATTGATAATTTGGCCAATTTCACACAAAATTTAAGAAATGCCAATTTCAAAATAGGGTCCAGAATAAACAATGTAGACATTCCTGGCACTAAAATAACATTTTCTCCATTCATTAGTCACATTTTCAGGTCCTTCTTATATTACATTTTCTTTCCATTTTGAATTTTTATTCACACACAAAATAGAAGTTTTACTGTTATGCAGATTACTGCATTATTGTAATAATTATGTGAGTGCATTACTGCATTATTGTAATAATTGTATAAATTATGTGAGTGCATTATTGTAATAATTGTATAAATTATGTGAGCGCATTACCGCATTATTGTAATAATTGTATAAATTATGTGAGTGCATTACCGCATTATTGTAATAATTGTATAAATTATGTGAGTGCATTACCGCATTATTGTAATAATTGTATAAATTATGTGAGTGCATTACCGCATTATTGTAATAATTGTATAAATTATGTGAGTGCATTCGTGAACACATAGCAGACTCACCAGCTGACATACATTGGACGCGTGACATGATTTGTTTACTCTTGAGCATCAGTAAAAATTGAACATTTTTGCTACTTTGAGCTCAATTTCAAGCTACTTTCATTCCTGAAACCAATCAAAATCATTTTTATTTCTGTAATATATCTTGCATTCTATCAATTGAGACCAAGAAAATGAGAACACAACCATAAAAACCATACAATACACTGCAAAGTTCCCATTTTAAACCAAAAACACGGTCACAGGTTTTTCTTATTGTGCACTGCAAGATTTTTTTATATGGTGCACACTTACCACAGAGACCCATTCTCTCATATCTAGGGCCAAATTTACCACTCACAGCTTATATGAGTGAGCAGTGTTCGTGGCATTGCATTACGGGACTGACACTAGCTTCAAAGTCATGACTGACACCAAAAGGGTTAACTTAGTTTAGTTTAGCCTTAGTCTGACACTGCCCTTCCTCATACATCCCTCAAAAATGTCAATATACTTGTGCCCCTGAAATATCTCATCTGGTTACCATGACTCAACGGACATTTACTTATATATCATAGCCAGCACTGTGCTATCTGCTGATGACTAAGTCTGAGAACTGAGGACTGAGAACAAAAATTCTCAGGCATTATAACCAACACACTCTTCAAATCAATAAAAATTAAATAAACATAAACAAAATAAAAAACTTATGAAAATATTGCCTTAAATGTTCACTCAGAGAATAAGAACTGAAAAAGGCTTAATAAAAACTGGAGGTACAGGAGGTCACAATTTACAAGTACCACAAGTCTCACACATCTACATTTACAAACTAGGAATCATAATTTAAATTTTACAACCACTTACCTTCAGTAATACTGTTTTCTAAACAAACCCATTGTTTACAAGTTAAAAAACAGGACCATAACTGGTGTGTAAACTGGGATGCTGCAGTATATTCAACATCGGTAAAAGTAAGATGAAGTTACCTTGGCTGTGCATAATAGCAGAGGCTGGAGAGTGCATGGGCACAGAGTGAGGGCCAGCTGGGGAAGGTGCCAGGAATCCTGGGGATGACACACTGTGCTGTGGAGCAGATGGTGAATTTGCTCCCAGGAAGCCTCCACTGGGTGATGGGTGGGGGAGCATGGCCGGTGATGGGTTCATCCCCGGCATTGGTGGAGGAGACGCCAGGGAGAAGCCGCTGGTGGCTGGACTGGCCACAAATGCGCCGTGTCCCCCGGTCTGTGAACATGTTCAATACGGTAATCTTCACTAAACACATGGTAAGTAGGACCAATCTCTTCTATCTATCAATGTCATACAGTCAATTCCTACTCAACAAGCAAAATTATCAATCAAATGTTAGGCTTTTCTAAATTGATCCAAACACTGCTAAAATATGAGACAAATATAAGTTCATTACCACTGTAACTTTAGCTACCAAAACTTTGTGGCCTAGTCCCTGGACCCAGTCCCTGGACTAAGTCCCTGGGCCCAGTCCCTGGACCTAGTCCCTGGACCCAGTCCCTGGACCCAGTACTTGAACCCATTACATGCCTCTTCTGTAATCTCATGATTACCACCCACATCAAATAAATGTGTCAACACAACTGAAAAGAACATAGAGAGAGAGATCTGTGACCTTCAGCAAAACTAGTGAAGTGGATCAAAATTACAAATCTTCTCTCTTTCTTCATGTTATTGTCAACATGTTTTTAACCTAGGTATCTATCACATAAGTACAGTGGACCCTCGACCAACGATGGCATTGTATAACGTTAAATCTGACTAGCGATACATTTTAACGCTAACATTTTGCCTCGACTAATGCTAAAAAAAACTCAACTAACGATATTCGTTCTCGGGTACCAATTAATATCGTTAGTCAAGGGTCCACTGTACTTCTTGATAAACAACCAAAAATATTATCTATCACACAATTCATACTAAACAATCAAATCTATCTATCCTAGATAACTAAGATTATTTTTTTTTTTTTTCAACAAGTCGGCCGTCTCCCACCGAGGCAGGGTGACCCAAAAAAGAAAGAAAATCCCCAAAAAGAAAATACTTTCATCATCATTCAACACTTTCACCACACTTGCACATTATCACTGTTTTTGCAGAGGTGCTCAGAATACAACAGTCTAGAAGCATACACATATAAAGATACACAACATATCCCTCCAAACTGCCAATATCCCAAACCCCTCCTTTAAAGTGCAGTCATTGTACTTCCCATTTCCAGGACTCAAGTCCGACTATATGAAAATAACCGGTTTCCCTGAATCCCTTTACTAAATATTACCCTGCTCACACTCCAACAGATCGTCAGGTCCCAAGTACCATTCGTCTCCATTCACTCCTATCTAACACGCTCACGCACGCTTCCTGGAAGTCCAAGCCCCTTGCCCACAAAACCTCCTTTACCCCCTCTCTCCAACCCTTTCGAGGATGACCCCTACCCCGCCTTCCTTCCCCTATAGATTTATATGCTTTCCATGTCATTCTACTTTGATCCATTCTCTCTAAATGACCAAACCACCTCAACAACCCTCTTCTGCCCTCTGACTAATACTTTTATTAACTCCACACCTTCTCCTAATTTCCACACTCCGAATTTTCTGCATAATATTTACACCACACATTGCCCTTAAACAGGACATCTCCACTGCCTCCAACCGTCTCCTCGCTGCTGCATTTACCACCCAAGCTTCACACCCATATAAGAGTGTTGGTACTACTATACTTTCATACATTCCCTTCTTTGCCTCCATAGATAACGTTTTTTGACTCCACATATACCTCAATGCACCACTCACCTTTTTTCCTTCATCAATTCTATGATTAACCTCATCCTTCATAAATCCATCCGCTGACACGTCAACTCCCAAGTATCTGAAAACATTCACTTCTTCCATACTCCTCCTCCCCAATTTGATATCCAATTTTTCTTTATCTAAATCATTTGACACCCTCATCACCTTACTCTTTTCTATGTTCACTTTCAACTTTCTACCTTTACACACATTCCCAAACTCATCCACTAACCTTTGCAATTTTTCTTTAGAATCTCCCATAAGCACAGTATCATCAGCAAAAATTTAATCCCACCCCTCTCCCGAACACCCTAGCATTTACTCCTTTACAACCCCATCTATAAATATATTAAACAACCATGGTGACATTACACATCCCTGTCTAAGACCTACTTTTTACCGGGAAGTAGTCTCCTCTCTTCTACACACCTAACCTGAGCCTCACTATCCTCATAAAAACTCTTTACAGCATTTAATAACTTACCACCTATTCCATATACTTGCAACATCTGCCACATTGCTCCTCTATCCACTCTATCATATGCCTTTTCTAAATCCATAAATGCAATAAAAACTTCCCTATCTTTATCTAAATACTGTTCACATATATGCTTCAATGTAAACACCTGATCTACACATCCCCTACCCTCTCTGAAACCTCCTTGCTCATCCGCAATCCTACATTCTGTCTTACCTCTAATTCTTTCAATTATAACCCTACCGTACACTTTTCCTGGTATACTCAGTAAGCTTTTTCCCTCTATAATTTTTAGTCTCTTTTGTCCCCTTTCCCCTTTTATATAAAGGGACTATACATGCTCTCCGCCAATCCCTAGGTACCTTCCCCTCTTTCATACATTTATTAAACAAAAGTACCAACCACTCCAACACTATATCCCCCCCTGCTTTTAACATTTCTGTCATGATCCCATCAGTTCCAGCTGCTTTACCCCTTTCATTTTACGTAATGCCCACGTACCTCCCCCACACTTACATTCTGCTCTTCTTCACTCCTAAAGATGGTATACCTCCCTGACCAGTGCATGAAATTACTGCCTCTGTTTCTTCCCTTTAAAATTTAAAAGTTTCTCAAAATATTCTCGCCATCTACCCAATACCTCCATCTCCCCATCTACTAACTCCCCTACTCTGTTTTTAACTGACAAATCCATATTTTCCCTAGGCTTTCTTAACTTGTTTAACTCACTCCAAAATTTTTTCTTATTTTCATTAAAATTTCTTGACAGTGCCTCTCCCACTCTATCATCTGCTCTCCTTTTGCACTCTCTTCACCACTCTCTTTACCTTTCTTTTACTCTCCATATACTCTGCTCTTCTTATAACACTTTGCTTTGTAAAAAACCTCTCATAAACTACCTTTTTCTCTTTTATCACACCCTTTACTTCATCATTCCACCAATCACTCCTCTTTCCTCCTGCCCCCACCCTCCTATAACCACAAACTTCTGCCCACATTCTAATACTGCATTTTAAAACTATTCCAACCCTCTTCAACCCCCCCACTACTCATCTTTGCACTAGCCCACCTTTCTGCCAATAGTCGCTTATATCTCACCCGAACTTCCTCCTCCCTTAGTTTATACACTTTCACCTCCCTCTTACTTGTTGTTGCCACCTTCCTCTTTTCCCATCTACCTCTTACTCTAACTGTAGCTACAACTAAATAATGATCCGATATATCAGTTGCCCCTCTATAAACATGTACATCCTGGAGCCTACCCATCAACCTAAGATTATATCTACCCCTAAACAATATCTATCTATCCTAGACAACCAAACTTATCTATCTATCCTGGACAACAAAAAGTACAGTATATATGCTGGACAACTAAAACTATCACTTAAATAATATTTATATATTGTGTATTTTTATACGTATATACTTTGGAGTGGTTGGTGCAATTATTTAATAAATGTATGGAAGAGGGTAAGGTACCTAGGGATTGGCAGAGAGCATGCATAGTTCCTTTGTATAAAGGCAAAGGGGATAAAAGAGAGTGCAAAAATTATAGGGGGATAAGTCTGTTGAGTGTACCTGGTAAAGTGTATGGTAGAGTTATAATTGAAAGAATTAAGAGTAAGACGGAGAATAGGATAGCAGATGAACAAGGAGGCTTTAGGAAAGGTAGGGGGTGTGTGGACCAGGTGTTTACAGTGAAACATATAAGTGAACAGTATTTAGATAAGGCTAAAGAGGTCTTTGTGGCATTTATGATTTGGAAAAGGCGTATGACAGGGTGGATAGGGGGGCAATGTGGCAGATGTTGCAAGTGTATGGTGTAGGAGGTAGGTTACTGAAAGCAGTGAAGAGTTTTTACGAGGATAGTGAGGCTCAAGTTAGAGTATGTAGAAAAGAGGGAAATTTTTTCCCAGTAAAAGTAGGCCTTAGACAAGGATGTGTGATGTCACCGTGGTTGTTTAATATATTTATAGATGGGGTTGTAAGAGAAGTAAATGCGAGGGTCTTGGCAAGAGGCGTGGAGTTAAAAGATAAAGAATCACACACAGGGTGGGAGTTGTCACAGCTGCTCTTTGCTGATGACACTGTGCTCTTGGGAGATTCTGAAGAGAAGCTGCAGAAATTGGTGGATGAATTTGGTAGGGTGTGCAAAAGAAGAAAATTAAAGGTGAATACAGGAAAGAGTAAGGTTATGAGGATAACAAAAAGATTAGGTGATGAAAGATTGAATATCAGATTGGAGGGAGAGAGTATGGAGGAGGTAAAAGTATTCAGATATTTGGGAGTGGACGTGTCAGCGGATGGGTCTATGAAAGATGAGGTGAATCATAGAATTGATGAGGGAAAAAGAGTGAGTGGTGCACTTAGGAGTCTGTGGAGACAGAGAACTTTGTCCTTGGAGGCAAAGAGGGGAATGTATGAGAGTATAGTTTTACCAACGCTCTTATATGGGTGTGAAGCATGGGTGATGAATGTTGCAGCGAGGAGAGGCTGGAGGCAGTGGAGTGTCATGTCTGAGGGCAATGTGTGGTGTGAATATAATGCAGAGAATTCGTAGTTTGGAAGTTAGGAGGAGGTGCGGGATTACCAAAACTGTTGTCCAGAGGGCTGAGGAAGGGTTGTTGAGGTGGTTCGGACATGTAGAGAGAATGGAGCGAAACAGAATAACTTCAAGAGTGTATCAGTCTGTAGTGGAAGGAAGGCGGGGTAGGGGTCGGCCTAGGAAGGGTTGGAGGGGAGGGGGTAAAGGAGGTTTTGTGTGCGAGGGGCTTGGACTTCCAGCAGGCATGCGTGAGCGTGTTTGATAGGAGTGAATGGAGACAAATGGTTTTTTAATACTTGACGTGCTGTTGGAGTGTGAGCAAAGTAACATTTTGAAGGGATTCAGGGAAACCGGCAGGCCGGACTTGAGTCCTGGAGATGGGAAGTACAGTGCCTGCACTCTGAAGGAGGGGTGTTAATGTTGCAGTTTAAAAACTGTAGTGTAAAGCACCCTTCTGGCAAGACAGTGATGGAGTGAATGATGGTGAAAGTTTTTCTTTTTCGGGCCACCCTGCCTTGGTGGGAATCGGCCAGTGTGATAATAAAATAAAAAAATAAAATACTTCTAAACTGTTGTATTCTGGGCACCTCTGCAAAAACAGTGATTATGTGTGTGAGTGAGGTGAAAGCATTCAATGATGATGAAAGTATTTTCTTTTTGGGGATTTTCTTTCTTTTTGGGTCACCCTGCCTCGGTGGGAGACGGCCGACTTGTTGAGAAAAAAAAAATCTATCCCACGAATAATTAAGAACAGATAACTATCTATCCCACTAGTAATTCACAACAGATAACTATCTATCCCACTAGTAATTCACAATAAGTATCTATTTTTTTTTTTTTTTTATTATCACACCGGCCGATTCCCACCAAGGCAGGGTGGCCCGAAAAAGAAAAACTTTCACCATCATTCACTCCATCACTGTCTTGCCAGAAGGGTGCTTTACACTACAGTTTTTAAACTGCAACATTAACACCCCTCCTTCAGAGTGCAGGCACTGTACTTCCCATCTCCAGGACTCAAGTCCGGCCTGCCGGTTTCCCTGAATCCCTTCATAAATGTTACTTTGCTCACACTCCAACAGCACGTCAAGTATTAAAAACCATTTGTCTCCATTCACTCCTATCAAACACGCTCACGCATGCCTGCTGGAAGTCCAAGCCCCTCGCACACAAAACCTCCTTTACCCCTCCCTCCAACCCTTCCTAGGCCGACCCCTACCCCGCCTTCCTTCCACTACAGACTGATACACTCTTGAAGTCATTCTGTTTCGCTCCATTCTCTCTACATGTCCGAACCACCTCAACAACCCTTCCTCAGCCCTCTGGACAACAGTTTTGGTAATCCCGCACCTCCTCCTAACTTCCAAACTACGAATTCTCTGCATTATATTCACACCACACATTGCCCTCAGACATGACATCTCCACTGCCTCCAGCCTTCTCCTCGCTGCAACATTCATCACCCACGCTTCACACCCATATAAGAGCGTTGGTAAAACTATACTCTCATACATTCCCCTCTTTGCCTCCAAGGACAAAGTTCTTTGTCTCCACAGACTCCTAAGTGCACCACTCACTCTTTTTCCCTCATCAATTCTATGATTCACCTCATCTTTCATAGACCCATCCGCTGACACGTCCACTCCCAAATATCTGAATACGTTCACCTCCTCCATACTCTCTCCCTCCAATCTGATATTCAATCTTTCATCACCTAATCTTTTTGTTATCCTCATAACCTTACTCTTTCCTGTATTCACCTTTAATTTTCTTCTTTTGCACACCCTACCAAATTCATCCACCAATCTCTGCAACTTCTCCCACTAGTAATTCACAATAGGTAACTATCCCACTAGTAATTCATAATAGGTAACTATCTCTCCTACTAGCAATTCACAACAGATAACTATCTATCTCACTAGTAATTCATAGATAATTATCTACCCCATTGTGGGTGTAAAGGAGCTTACCCATCCTCAAAAATATCAGCAAAAATCGAATATTACCACTAATTTGAGCTCAATTTTAAGTTACTTCCAGTTCTGAAATCAACCAAAATGATCTCTATTTCAGTAATATGTCTTCCATTCTATCAAATACCAAAAAACAGCCAATAAAACCATAAAAACCATCCAAGAAAACACAGCTAAGTCTTCATTTTAATCCATCCACATGGTCAGAGTTTTGCTTTTCCCATCATGCACTGCGTAAGGCAGGATTTTCTTTATATATACTGTATAAACTCACCACATGAATCCATTTTCTCATATCCATGTCAAAATTTACCATTCACAGCTTATCTGAGTGAGCTGAGCTCATGACATAGTATTATGTGAGGAACCCTGACATTAATGACATAGGTAGATACATGTGGTGGACACTGAAAGAGTTAATAATGAAGCTACAAACATTTTGTTGTTGTATAACTCTTAATAATGAAGTTACAAAGATGAATAACCATAAAGATGCTACTGAACCTGACTCATGCCACCAGGGTGTGGGCTGGCTGGCGTGTGGGGGTTAGATGATATGGGTGGTGTCATGGGGCCGTGTCGTGCCGGAGATGCTGCCTTGGGTGTGGGCCACATCGTATCGTCCAGTGGGATTGGTGTAGGTGGATTGTCGTCTTCAGACTGGGAACGTCTGATGTTGATAGCCGTCTCATCCACATACTTGCTGAGGAATGCCTGTGGAGTGTAAGGACATGTCTTTTATCCAGAGATAAAAGAGACTTATTAATGCCTGGTCATGGGCTCACCTTTTTTAGTTACCTGTCATATAGCCTTCTGGGGATGAGGTGCCTTGATGCTGGTGAAGGGCTCTTGATTGAAGGAATTGGAGCTACCCTCTCCTTTTTTGGATCAAACCTGATTGAATAATCCATCCAGAACCAGAGCTTCACTAAAAATATAACATAACATTAATGGTTAGCTGGACTTAAGTCCTGGAAATGGGAAGTACATGCATGCACTTTAAAGGAGGGGTTTGGGATATTGGCAGTTTGGAGGGACATCTAAACTGTTGTATCTGAGCACCTCTGCAAAGACAGTAATTATATATGAGTAATGGTGAAAGTGTTGAATGATGAGTTTTTTTCTTTCTTTCTTTTTGGGTTTTTCTTTCTTGGTGGGTCACCCTGCCTTGGTGAGAAATGGCTGATGTGTTAAAAAAAAAAAAAAAAAATGATACAAAATTGATGGCTGTGACAAAATGAAGAAAGCTAACAACTGTGTCAAGGATGAAAGACTGACTGTTTCATCTTCTACTGTCTCTAATTGGCAGACGATGCACCATCCCCCCAATGAAAAGCAGGGGTGTCACTAGCACGTTAAGAGACCATACAATAAGTGTCAGGGGCCCGAGACTGTTCAACTGCCTCCCAGCACACATAAGGGGGATTACCAACAGACCCCTGGCAGTCTTCAAGCTGGCACTGGACAAGCACCTAAAGTCAGTTCCGGATCAGCCGGGCTGTGGCTCGTATGTTGGTTTGCGTGCAGCCAGCAGCAACAGCCTGGTTGATCAGGTTCTGATCCACCAGGAGGCCTGGTCTCAGACCGGGCCGCGGGGGCGTTGACCCCCGGAACTCTCTCCAGGTAAACTCCAGGTAATACCAGCCATCTCCCTCCCAGGTTGGCAGACCCACAAAAGAGGGTACACCTTCACCATTATTCATGCAATCGACCCTCTGAACAGCAATATCCCCACCTTTCCTTCACAGTAAAAGAACCATGCTTTCACCTCCAAGACTTAAGTCTGGCCAACCAGTTTCCATGAATCCCTTTATGTTACCTTGTTCATACTCCAACAGTACCTTGAGCCATAAACAGCATTCAGGCTTGCTGGATGCTCAAGCCCCTAGCACTCAAAATCTCTTAACCTCCCCATCCTTTCTGGGATAACACTACTGCTCCTGCCTTCCTTCCTCCCTAGATATATACAGAATACTCACTTGATCATCCTATTCTGTACCATCTTCTCTAAATGCCTTAACAACTTCAACAACCCCTCCTCATCCCTCTGAATTATACCTTTGGTAACGCCATATCAATATTGTCTTCTAATTTCTGTTTTTTTATTTTTTTTATTAACATACTGGCTGTCTTCCACCAAGACAGGGTGACCCAAAAAAGAAGAAACACTTTCATCATCATTCACTCCATCACTTTCTTGTCAAAGGCATGCCTACACTACATTTAAAAAACTGCAACATCAACACCCCTCCTTCAGAGCACAGGCACTGTACTTTCCACCTCCAGGACTAAAGTCCAGCTTGCTGGTTTCCTTGAATCCCTACATAAACATTACTTTTCTCACACATCAACAGCACACTGAGTCATAAAACCCATCTGTCTCCACTCACTCCTATCTAACATGCTCATGCACCCTCCAACCTTTCCTAAGCCAACCCATACCCCACCTTCCTTCCACTACAGATTAATAAGCTCTCCAAGTTATTCAATTTGGCTCCATCCTCTCAAAATGTATGAACCACCTCAAAAACTCCTCCTCAGCCCTCTGGATAATACTTTTAGTAACCCTACACCTCCTAATTTCCAAACTACAGATTCCGTGCATTATATTCACACCACACACACTGCCCTCAAACACAACATCTCCACTGCCTCCAGCCTTCTCCTCGTTGCAACATTCACCACCCATGCTTCACACCCACTTAAAAAGCATTGATATAACTATACAATGGAACCTTGGCTTATGAGTTTAATCCGTTTCGCCACCTTGTTCGTATCCTGACCTGCTCGTTTGCTGAGTCAATTTTCCTTATTTAAATTAACTGAAATGCCATTAATCCTTTCCAGCAGAATTTCTGCTCTGGTAGGCGGGACAAAAATACTGCAACACTCCCACACTCCCGACACCACCATCTCAGCTTCATGAATACGTGTTCAGTTCCACTTCCCTGCTACAAGCTAGCTGTGTTTGAGAATTGTGTTTTGATCTATTAATTACCATATCTTGTATCTGCCAAGCAATCATGACACCCAGTAGGCACACCAGTGTTGCTGACTTACTGAATGACTGACTTACTAAATGACTTACTGACTTGATTGAATGACATACTGACTTGACTGACTGACTGAATGACTTGACTGACTTAATGACTTAACTGACTTGACTGACTGAATGACTTGACTGACTTACTGAATGACTTAAAGTTAGACTTTTTCACTGAAGAGGACCCTGAAATGGTGTCTAGAGCAGCTGATGCCTTACCGTCAGTTGAATAATGTACTGCAGGGTAAAATAGAACAGAAATCCATTACATAATTTATGCACACTCCAGTACAACCATCAACTTCAGTACCAGAACCTCTATCATCCACCTCAGCCCAGTAGGACCACAACGTAACTCTCCTCTCTCTTCACAAACATCCACAAACACCAGCACCCACAATTTAAGGTAAGAAATACTATTATTTCTGTTACATTTGTAATCTTAAGCAGTAAAAACAACATAATACATCACAACAATGAACTACAATTATATATTCACTTTTATTTTTGTAAGATCTGGAGGTATAAAAAAAAGTTGAATTTTTGCTTGTATCCAGAAACAAAAACTCGACCGAGCGACTACTCATATCCTGAAAAACTCGTATGGTGAAGTACTCGTAAGCAGAGGTTCCACTGTACTCTCATACATTTCCCTCTTTGCTTCCAGAGATTATGTTCTTTGTCTCCACAGACTCCTCAGTGCCCAACTCACCTTTTTCCCCCTCATGATTTGCTTCATCTTTCATAGACCCATCTGCTGACAAGTTCACTCTCAAATATCTGAATACATTCACTTCCTCCATAAGCCCTCCCTACAATATAATATCCAATCTTTCATTACTTTTTTTTTTTATCACCACCTTACTTTCCTATGTTCATTTTTAATTTCCTTCTTTTACATGCCCTACCAAACTCATTCACTAATTTCTGCAACTTCTCTTCAGAATCACCCAAAAGAAAAGTGTCATCAGCAAAAAGCAACTGTGACAAATCCCACTTCATGTTAGATTCTTTATCTTTTAATCCCATGCCTCTTGCCAACACCCGAGCATTCACTTCTCTTACAACCCCATCTATAAATATACTGAACAACCATGGTGACATCACACATCCCTGTCCATGTCCTGCTTTTACTATCCTGGTAAAAACTCCACTGTTTTCAGTTACCTACCTCCTATTACATGCATTTGCTCTGAGTTTCCTGCATAATTTTCGCACTACACATTCTTCTCAAACATGACATCTCCACTGCTTCCTTGAAACAATATTAATTGAACATGCCTCACACTCTCACACAAGTGCTGGCACCACTATACACTAGTACATTTTCCCTTTTGCCTTCATGAATAAACATATTTCTTACCACAGGTGTCTCAGCACACCAACTACCTTGTTTCGAAAAATGTTTTACCCACTTTCGTCTTGCAACTACTTCCAGCATTTTCACATTAGTCAAGTTGTTTTTGCATGAGTCAAGACTCATCTCCTATCCCTGCTTCTCAGTTTTAAAATTGGTTTTTGGGCCCTATGCAACTGTGTGTGGAATTTTCCTATAGCAAAAAATGTGGAAGTTTAAGAATGTCAAGAGTGAAACATGCAAGAAAAAACATTGTAATATTATTATAAAGTTAATGTATGATGACAACACAGCTGTAGCACTTGCCTTAAGTCCCTGTATCTGGATAAAGTCTTCAATCAACTTGGAAGTCTCAAAGCTGCTGTAGGCACCATCTCTGACAGCAACCAGTCCATTGGGAAGGAGGTCAACATTGAGGCAGTAGACATTGCGGTAAATAATGCTGACTCGTGTAGGAGACTGGGGTAGCACTGTGAAGTTCTTAATTGGCTGATGCTTCTGTTAACATCAAATAACAATACAAATTAATAGCTCCCTATCAATTATTTTCATCTATGACTTAGGACATTTTATCTCATTCATTCATGAATGTATGAGTGAGATCAACTTAATGAAGACTAAATTTCAGCTGTAGTACATTCAATCCTAATGATGCTTCCTCTTGCAGGAATTATCACTTTGTAGCTGTTATACATACATAATTATAATGATTAAGGTAGGTAGTAGGTAGGTAGACAGTAACCACCCAGGGAGGTACTACCATCCTGTGGTAGTAGGCAGGTAGACAGTAACCACCAGGGAGGTACTACCATCCTGTGGTAGTAGGTAGGTAGACAGTAACCACCCAGGGAGGTACTACCATCCTGTGGTAGTAGGTAGGTAGACAGTAACCACCCAGGGAGGTACTACCATCCTGTGGTAGTAGGTAGGTAGACAGCAACCACCCAGGGAGGTACTACCATCCTGTGGTAGTAGGCAGGTAGACAGTAACCACCCAGGGAGGTACTACCATCCTGTGGTAGTAGGTAGGAGACAGTAACCACCCAGGGAGGTACTACCATCCTGTGGTAGTAGGTAGGTAGACAGTAACCACCCAGGGAGGTACTACCATCCTGTGGTAGTAGGTAGGTAGACAGTAACCACCCAGGGAGGTACTACCATCCTGTGGTAGTAGGTAGGTAGACAGTAACCACCCAGGGAGGTACTACCATCCTGTGGTAGTAGGTAGGTAGACAGCAACACCCAGGGAGGTACTACCATCCTGTGGTAGTAGGTAGGTAGACAGTAACCACCCAGGGAGGTACTACCATCCTGTGGTAGTAGGCAGGTAGACAGTAAACCACCCAGGGAGGTATACCATCCTGTGGTAGGAGGTAGGTAGACAGTAACCACCCAGGGAGGTACTACCATCCTGTGGTAGTAGGTAGGTAGACAGTAACCACCAGGGAGGTACTACCATCCTGTGGTAGTAGGTAGGTAGACAGCAACCACCCAGGAGGTACTACCATCCTGTGGTAGTAGGTAGGTGACAGTAACCACCAGGGAGGTACTACCATCCTGTGGTACTAGGAGGTAGACAGTAACCCCCAGGGAGGTACTACCATCCTGTGGTAGTAGGTAGGTAGACAGCAACACCCGGGAGGGTACTACCATCTGTGGTAGTAGGTAGGTAGACAGTAACCACCCAGGAGGTACTACCATCCTGTGGTAGTAGGTAGGTAGACAGTAACCACCCAGGGAGGTACTTACCATCCTGTGGTAGTAGGTAGGTAGACAGTAACCACCCAGGGAGGTACTACCATCCTGTGGTAGTAGGTAGGTAGACAGTAACCACCCAGGGTGGTACTACCATCCTGTGGTAGTAGGTAGGTAGACAGTAACCACCCAGGGAGGTACTACCATCCTGTGGTAGTAGGTAGGTAGACAGTAACCACCCAGGGAGGTAGTACCATCCTGTGGTAGTAGGCAGGTAGACAGTAACCACCCAGGGAGGTACTACCATCCTGTGGTAGTAGGTAGGTAGACAGCAACCACCCAGGGAGGTACTACCATCCTGTGGTAGTAGGTAGGTAGACAGTAACCACCCAGGGAGGTACTACCATCCTGTGGTAGTAGGTAGGTAGACAGTAGCCACCCAGGGAGGTACTACCATCCTGTGGTAGTAGGTAGGTAGACAGCAACCACCCAGGGAGGTACTACCATCCTGTGGTAGTAGGTAGGTAGACAGTAACCACCCAGGGAGGTACTACCATCCTGTGGTAGTAGGTAGGTAGACAGTAACCACCCAGGGAGGTAGTACCATCCTGTGGTAGTAGGCAGGTAGACAGTAACCACCCAGGGAGGTACTACCATCCTGTGGTAGTAGGTAGGTAGACAGCAACCACCAGGGAGGTACTACCATTCCTGTGGTAGTAGGTAGGTAGACAGTAACCACCCAGGGTGGTACTACCATCCTGTGGTAGTAGGTAGGTAGACAGTAACCACCCAGGGAGGTACTACCATCCTGTGGTAGTAGGTAGGTAGACAGCAACCACCCAGGGAGGTACTACCATCCTGTGGTAGTAGGTAGGTAGACAGTAACCACCCAGGGAGGTACTACCATCCTGTGGTAGTTAGGTAGACAGTAACCACCCAGGGAGGTACTACCATCCTGTGGTAGTAGGTAGGTGGACAGTAACCACCCAGGGAGGTACTACCATCCTGTGGTAGTAGGCAGGTAGACAGTAACCACCCAGGGAGGTAGTACCATCCTGTGGTAGTAGGCAGGTAGACAGTAACCACCCAGGGAGGTACTACCATCCTGTGGTAGGAGGTAGGTAGACAGTAACCACCCAGGGAGGTACTACCATCCTGTGGTAGTAGGTAGGTAGACAGTAACCACCCAGGGAGGTAGTACCATCCTGTGGTAGTAGGCAGGTAGACAGTAACCACCCAGGGAGGTTACTACCATCCTGTGGTAGGAGGTAGGTAGACAGTAACCACCCAGGGAGGTACTACCATCCTGTGGTAGTAGGTAGGTAGACAGTAACCACCAGGGAGGTACTACCATCCTGTGGTAGTAGGTAGGTAGACAGTAACCACCCAGGGAGGTAGTACCATCCTGTGGTAGTAGGCAGGTAGACAGTAACCACCCAGGGAGGTACTACCATCCTGTGGTAGTAGGCAGGTAGACAGTAACCACCCAGGGAGGTACTACCATCCTGTGGTAGTAGGTAGGTAGACAGTAACCACCCAGGAGGTACTACCATCCTGTGGTAGTAGGCAGGTAGACAGTAACCACCCAGGGAGGTACTACCATCCTGTGGTAGTAGGTAGGTAGACAGTAACCACCCAGGGAGGTACTACCATCCTGTGGTAGTAGGCAGGTAGACAGTAACCACCCAGGGAGGTACTACCATCCTGTGGTAGTAGGTAGGTAGACAGTAACCACCCAGGGAGGTACTACCATCCTGTGGTAGTAGGTAGGTAGACAGCAACCACCCAGGGAGGTAGTACCATCCTGTGGTAGTAGGCAGGTAGACAGTAACCACCCAGGGAGGTACTACCATCTTGTGGTAGGAGGTAGGTAGACAGTAACCACCCAGGGAGGTACTACCATCCTGTGGTAGTAGGTAGGTAGACAGTAACCACCCAGGGAGGTACTACCATCCTGTGGTAGTAGGTAGGTAGACAGTAACCACCCAGGGAGGTACTACCATCCTGTGGTAGTAGGTAGGTAGACAGTAACCACCCAGGGGAGGTACTACCATCCTGTGGTAGTTAGGCAGGTAGACAGTAACCACCCAGGGAGGTACTACCATCCTGTGGTAGTAGGTAGGTAGAAGTAACCACCAGGGAGGTACTACCATCCTGTGGTAGTAGGTAGGTAGACAGTAACCACCCAGGGAGGTACTACAATCCTGTGGTAGTAGGCAGGTAGACAGTAACCACCCAGGGAGGTACTACCATCCTGTGGTAGTAGGTAGGTAGACAGTAACCACCAGGGAGGTACTACCATCCTGTGGTAGTAGGCAGGTAGACAGTAACCACCAGGGAGGTACTACCATCCTGTGGTAGTAGGTAGGTAGACAGAACCACCCAGGGAGGTACTACCATCCTGTGGTAGTAGGCAGGTAGACAGTAACCACCCAGGGAGGTACTACCATCCTGTGGTAGTAGGTAGGTAGACAGTAACCACCCAGGGAGGTACTACCATCCTGTGGTAGTAGGCAGGTAGACAGTAACCACCCAGGGAGGTAGTACCATCCTACCAAGTGAGTGTGAAACAGAACCCTCTAACTGTTTTACATGAAGGTAGGATTGGTCGTGTTCTTTTTTCTGTCTTATAAACATGCTGGATGACAGGAATATCTTGCTACTTCTACTTACACTTAGGTCACACTACACAGGCATGCACATGCACATACAGTGGAACTTTGGTTTTTGGCATTAATTCGTTCCAGAAAGTGTGACGAAAACCAAATTCGACGAAAACTGAAGCAATATTTCCCTTAAAAAATAATGTAAATCCAATTAATCCATTCCAGACACCCAAAAGTATTAACAAAAAATACATTTTATAGAGAATAACTATAGTTTTACATACAGAAAACAATGAGAAATAAATATAAAGAACTAATGAAATGGATAAATGAACATTTAATATCACTTTCACCTTTATTGAAGACTCTTGTTGGTGTATGGAAGATGTGAGGAGGGAGGAGGGAAGAGGAGGAGGGAAGAGGGAG